GGGGGAAGTAGAAAGGGGTAGGAAATTCTGGGGGTGAGGATTAGGAAGTAGAGTATTAGGGGGCTTGGGAGTAGGGGTAAGAAGCCAGTGGAAAGGGGTAGGAAATTCTGGGGGTGAGGATTAGGAAGTAGAGTATTAGGGGGCTTGGGAGTAGGGGTAAGAAGCCAGTGGAAAGGGGTAGGAAATTCTGGGGGTGAGGATTAGGAAGTAGAGTATTAGGGGGCTTGGGAGTAGGGGTAAGAAGCCAGTAGAAAGGGGTAGGAAATTCTGGGGGTGAGGATTAGGAAGTAGAGTATTAGGGGGCTTGGGAGGCGGAAGTCATGGTGTTGAAGAGCAAAAAGTGGATGAGGTGGGGAAATAGATACAGGGCTTTCACACCCCATTTTTGGACTGGAGCCTGGGGCCCTTAGAATTGGGAAAAATAGCTGTGTTTTCCTTAGAATTGCGAAAACTTGGGTCTACAATGGGAAAAAAAGATACTATTTTTGCATTGGGAATATCGGCCCCAAGTCTGGCAGATCGAGAGCCCTGAGATATGGTAGGGTTGTAAACAGTGTAGAATATTCTGGATGAGCTAATAGCAAGGTAGTGAGGGTAGATATTTAGTGGGGTTGGGAATAGGACTGATAGTTAAGGGAGGGGTGTCTAGAAATCTTGTGTCTAGGTGGAGAGTAGTCTGGAGGGTGTGGAGTAGGAAGATAGTAGAGATAAAAATGTAGTAGTCAGATTGATGCCATATTATAAATGGAGGTGAGGAGTTGGTACATTTGGAGGAGTACTCGATTTCATTTCAGCAGAGGAAATAAAGAAATTATACAACCAGAAAGTTGTACAAGTATCACAGACTTGTATTTCATTAATACATAAGGAGGATATTGTGATAATTTAAAAATCACATTTACTTCAAAACTATTTTCAACTGTTTTTCAACTTTGATACTCCTGAAATTAATTCATTTATGTACAGTTTCCATGAAAAACATTAATATGAAATAAAACGCCCTGGACCCACGATCCAAGAGAGACCCAAGAAAGTGTTTTTATCAGGAGTGAACTTAATATACAAAGATGCTTAACTGACATAAATCAGGTTTAAATATTCTAAATAAAACCAAAAATAAAATTTTCAAATACAAGATCAGTTTGAAAGTTCTTCAAAAACCATATACAGATTAGTTTAAAGCAGTGGTTTCAAGTAAGTTATATTTGTTTAAATTCACTGAAACCTCACAGTCATTACATAGGGATCAAGCTCTTCTGAGGTAATAACCCAAACTTAAGCAGGTAAATCGTTCAATTTAAACATCGTTAAGTGAACCAGTGCAAGATAGAAATGTACCTAGATATATACAGATGTACATCTCTGAGAGGTTCCAAAAATAAATCTGACAACATTCATGATATAATCTTAGATTCTCATATTCAGTGTTGGACATGAAGCTTTTGATATTTGTGAGGTACGGTTTGGGTTTATATCAACAGCATTAGTAGATCTTCTGTTTGGCTGAATGTACTTGTATGTGATGTATCTGCATGTTAAAATATGATGGATAAAAAAAGTGTAGGATTTTCTCATGTCATATCATTTGGAATGAATCCAGCACATCCTGCAGAACATGCGAGATAAACCACCTGAAAATAACCTCCAGCATCTGCTAAAATATTATCAAAACTAAACTTTGGATTGAAAGTAGCCTCAAAATGTCTAAATCAAGGCGGGATACATCTAAAAATACACACACAGGTTCTATAATGGTATCTGTCAAGAGTTATCTCCCATTAGGACACAGGCTCGAAGGAATAAAACCTAGTTATACTCTGTGATTATATATGTTTACTTGACGTAATAATGAAAATGATGGAATGCCTTGCCCATCATTCCAAACGCTTCTACCTTTTTAAGAAATGATACGGCTGCATAGTTTTAAAAGCTAAAACATAGGAATTCACTTGATCCTATGACATTAGTTAATGGATCCCATTCTAGTTAATGAATCTCATTCACTAGTATATATATGTACAGTTTTATAGATCCAACAGCTAAGAAAAGGGGGAGGGGCATTTCAGATTTTAAAAAAAAATGTCCCAGATAAAATGTTGGATACAATATTGCCAAAAACAATTTAATCACATGACAGGATCTTACAATTTGTTTTATGATGTATGTGAGGTTTATTGAGCCCTTGACATTACAAATGTTTCATTAAACAGATTTCTAAGTAAACAATTCTATGCATTTGTCATCTTTGCCCAATAGGATACAAAACTTATGTAAGATCCTGTGTTGTACATCTTCATAATTGACAAGTTAAAGAGCTGGTTATGAATATCCTTTGTTGACAGTCTGTTAGTATAGCATTTTATGATTGAAATGCTAGCATGCTTTCTGTTACTCATCTCCTTGACCTTATTTGTTGTTCCCAGGACTTTTTTGGAGAAAAACCAACTGGGATTTCCATAACTGAATGTGAAACAATTACAGTATATCATACCTACAGAGTATTATGTAAAACACTCCAAAACTTTAAGACAAGGGTTCAGGATGTGTTACACACACTTTTTACTAGTTCTTGATGTGGAAGATTAACTGGAACGTCACAAAACATTAAAATGGATGAAATTGGCAAATTATGTTAAACATATCACTTAAAAAACAACTTAAAGCACTGGTTAAAACTATATTACATTCTCTTGATCTTTTCTTTTGATTTTTTTCTTATCTTATGTGTATATGCTTTAAGCCACCCCATTTGCATTTTTACATGCAATAACATGTATACAACTTCTCAAGATGTCGGCTGTCCCTGTGTGAGAGACATCTCAGTCTCAATTGGCTTCCATAGCTAGGAAATTGAATAGAATTGGACATATTTACATGCATAGAAACAATAAAGGAACACTTGAGATGTAAGATTTGTTATTTTGAGATCAAGAGGAGACAGACTGGAGCTTAAATTCTCTGGTAGGGCTATCAAACCTGAACTGGTCTAAGGTTACAGGGTCAACTGTATTCCCAGACAACTAAGTATTGAGTCAACTCCCTGGAATTCCTCTACTCTAAGTACATCTTTTTCTGACATGTGGTTGAATTTTATTAGGTCAGTCCATCTGTGCATGTGTGGGAGTGAACAAAATTAGCTCCATTTAAAATTATCCTGTTATAAGTATCGTGAGAGTTGTTTTACATTTGACCTTTGAAAACTTTTCATGAGCTGTACTTCAAATGCTATTTTTGAATTCACAATATCATAACTATATTTAGAAGTATTGTCCGTGAAACTGAAGATTTTTAATGTCATTTTATTGTCTATTTCATCTCTATATATCCAGTCATTGATAGTGCTTTTATACAAATAGACTGGTTGAAGATCAATGTGGTGAGTAGGCTTATCAATAATCATCACTTAAAAAAACATAAGCACACATAATGTGCATTGTGATATAATCAAGAGAGGAAAAGACCAATGCAAAGCTACTTATCAGTGGAAGTGGGGGGGGGGACTATTCATGTCTGGTCTGGTAACCAATCTGTGTGATGTCAAATGATAGTATATATATTGTAAAATCTAGCATTCTTCTCCTGTGGAAGTAGATTTTACAATGGTTGTACACCTGTAGCCTTTGTTATGCAGTTATCCAACACTAAAATAAATCTATGATATCACTGTCATGGCCACTTGTTGTCTTATTATGTCTGCTGTGGGAGCCAGATCAAGCTATGCTCTCATTATGATATTTTGATCTTCTGAATATGAAAGTTTGTGAAAACAATGTAGTTACAAATATTTTAAGAACTAAATTCATAGTGACCAGTTGGATGTAGGGAAAACTGTTATGAATTCTGAATGTTAACCTGTAAAACTGTATGTTACAAGTTCCCTGCTGTAACACAGTGGGGCATGCACGTGGTTGGAGGGGCCAGCTCCTGTTTTGAATTAGCAACCTGTTTTATCATCAATTATAAACCAACTTTTCTTCCTGAAATCTGCTGTGAAGAAATGATGGGAAGATGTTTTTTTAACTTTTAAAACCGGAACTGTTACCGACATTAGCAATTATGAGTTTAACACCCAGTAGTGTTTGCCATTTCCTTTCCCAGGGTTAACTTATTTTAGAAAAAAAAAATGTGCCCCATGTTTTAAGATAATAATACAGTTGTAAACTCACAGAGAATGTTTAAAACATTCTGTTGTTATTCTGGTTCTAATCTGGTTGTTGCGTCACTCTGGCTACCCTCTGTATATATACAAAGGAATTTTTCTATAACCAAGGTCCTGTACACTGATCATCATACTTAAGTGAAAAACAGTTAAAGCTTATAATGCATGTTTCCTGCTTTTTGTTGCTTAAAATATTAATGTGAACCCTATCTCCCTAACAGATACCTTTTAGTCATCTTTCCTTAATAAAGATGTCCAGGTGATTATTTCATATCTTACTTGATTGTTCAGCATCAAAAAATCAATAAAATGGAACATTGCTGTGTTTATTAGTTATAAAGTTTAATAGAGTATTAAGAGCTTAAAAACTCCATGCAAAAAATTTCTAAGATTTTCTTTTCACAATTTTATTCAAGCAGTATTGATTTTCAGTTGACATTGTAAAATTTAATATAATAATTTTTTTAAACTGAAACAAAATATCAGAACTTATCCATATTATCAACGTGCATACATGGATATCTGTGAAAAATAGTGTTGCCCAAAATTTGAATCCTGTGAACTAGCTGTAATACATTGGATTGTTCAACCGGACACTGGGTTTCTTTAAAGATTTTACACAGTTAATTTGTAAGATTCTTTAAGGGAAGTTCAGACACCGAGTTTCAAACTTTTGATGGCCCCACTACTGAGAGACATGGTAGGTTGTCAAAATTTGTCTCAGACTGAAATATTTGTATCGATGATTTATGATAACTATCTGATGTGATGATAATATTTAATAGTATGTTGTGTATCATGCAGCAGATATTTCATGTTTGATGTTTTCTGTATGTTTCAGTCATCTCACACAAACGACAACCTGGCAAGATCCCCGCAAAGCCGTCAGCACAACTGCCCTCAATAGTCAACAAAGCCCACCCTCTTCGCAGCAGTCACCCAATGTCTCCATGCAGAACCTGAACCTTGATGCCCTGCCCCAGGGATGGGAACAAGCAAGCACGCCCGAAGGAGACATTTACTACATAAATCATCATGAACGCACCACAAGTTGGTACGATCCGAGAATACGTAAGTATTAAGAGCAGGTGTTTGTGCATTTATTGTACATACGAGTGTTGATTGGTTATCATAATTAACGTTATAGACAGGTGTTATCTAACATAGATATGCATACCTATAGTTATAGACAAGCAGTTTGTAATATATTTGGTTTGACTTTCAACTTGATTGTTTTTGTTAGCTGAATGAGTGCATCAAATCTACTTATATGCTTTTAATGTAAAATGAACTGAAAGCTGTATAGAGTTATCTGCCCCTGTATAAGATAGATATAATTCGTCTGACAAATTGGTCATTGCTGGTGCTGCCAACCTTCACTCTGACTTACATCAGGTTTGGCATGCAGTATTACCAAGCCTTGGAAAGTATCCAGGGAACAGAATTAATATTTATTTAATCAATCTTATCGTTCCCTACTTTGTGCAAAGTGCACATGTTCAATAGATTTTTTTATGCCTTATTTGTTATGAAGGCATACCCATACATGAAAACAAAAATTTCATTTTTCTTTAGTATCAAATTAATGTACTTCTCTTCTGATGATGAGGCTAGTTCAGCCACACATTATCAAAGACATTGTCAAAGCCCACAAGACGCAACCAGTATATGTCATCATAGCTTTATCCTGACCAGACAAATTTGATACTGACAGATTTTGTGGAAATATATTGTATTTGTCATAAGTTATATTTATACACCTGATTTACCATCAAAGTAAACAAACAACTGGTGGACTGATTTTCTACTGTCACTTTACGGCTTTCTCTATTGGGGCTTAGTTTATTCCTTTCAAATTCCTGTAAATTTGAGAGGAAAATTAACTCCACAAATTGACTCCTTATCATTTAACATCTGCATTTAAACAAATGATAAACTAGATTTAAAAAACTTCTTGCAAAAAAAACATTTTGAATTTGCTAAGTCAGCTGGAAGATGGTTAACCCCACATAAAATTGTGCTGTATCATTACAGCTCAAGTTTTAAGTAGTTTCATCACCACATTCTTAAAGTATCATTCTTGCTTTATCTATACAGCTGAACGGATGCGTCAACAGGCTAGAATTAACTCTGTAGGTCCTGGACCAGGTCAGCGACAGATGGGTCCACAACAGTTGGCTCCGCCCCCTCAACACCCACAACAACAGCAACAGAATGGGGGCACTCAACGTTCACAGCAGGCAAACCTGCAGTTCTCCAAACTACAGATGGAGAAAGAACGGCTGCGCAAAAGACAAGAAGAAATTGCCCGACAGGTAGCTATTGCAGATGGACAAACTAAGTTTTTACTTTCTCCATTTTATTTTTGGCTTTTTGCCTTAATGGGCCATATCATACGTGTTTACCTGCAGTTAAGGTCATGGAGTAACACAAATCTTCTGACGCAAATTCAGGGGCTGGGCTTATTACTGATTGGTTGGCATATTTACTAGGCTTAGCACCTCTCAACAGTCAGGATCTTCTGGGGTGACTACCTCACTGAACACCATATGAAAGACTTGTCACATGCTATCCAAAGAAAGGGTAAATTGCTCTATCAAGTCACAGGAAGTCAATGATGTAAACTTCCAGTGAAAGAAAAAATTAAATATGCATATGAAATGAGTCTGGATAGGTAGCTACCAATTGTCTTTGTGGATGTTTTCAGTTTTCATCTCTCTGCACCAGTTGGTCCACAATAACTTCCTTCAATTAGCATTTAACTCCATTCTTTGATTATTTAACTTGACATTTCACATGTTATTTACATATGGACATATTTTGATAAACATTAAACATTTCCTACTTTAAAAAAGTTAAATTGTTGAAGTCAAATAGAAGCTTGAAGGTAAAAGTATCCCTTGGAAAAATGACACTCATTTCAGGAAATTCAGTAACTTGAAAATTGCTCTAGAATGAGGATATTTTACTCAATTATTGCATCATTTTGAAAACATTGGCGAAGATAGAGCTATAAATAGCCACTGTCTAGGATGAATTAGCTTGCTATATGTATGCAGTAACAAACCTGTGACAGGTTATAAGCCCAGTCATATCTATTGCTGTTTAAAAGAATTTCTAACAAGCTAAGGAGTGGACTTCTTCGACGTATAAGTAAGTTAAGTGTTGACAACCTGGGCGTAGTGCAGGACAGATTCAGTATTTTAGGGTAAAATTGGGGAGCCTGAGCTTAGCATTGTCGTTTTACCTCTAGGAGATGCTTCTGCGGGCACAAATGCAACAACAGCAACAACTACAGCAGCAGCAGCAACAACAACAGGATGTAATACCTGTTTCACAAAGCATTAACATATCTCAAGCCAACGAAATGACATCTGTCACTGACCCGTTCCTTGGGCAAACAAATTCATCAGACCATTCACGGCAAGAAAGTACAGACAGTGGAGTTGGTATGTTATATCATTGAAAGCTAACTGCTCTTACAGAAAGATGATTTTGGCTGTGAAATTGGGGTCTTGTCTTTTAAATTAAAGTTCGAAAAGTTAACAGGTTCTTTCTTTGGAATGTTTCATTTTCACTATAAAAAGTAAAATTTTTGATGAAGGAAGTATTTAAGGGGAAATAACTCAATATTCATAGAGATTCAAATATTGGCAATTTATGTCGATCCAATCTGTCATTTGACAAGTGGATTACTTGCCCTTTTTAATATATTTTTGTATTGTTATATACAAGTTCTTTTAGAAAAAAACTTCAGGTCCTATGTGAAAAGTGGACATAATTCATTCTGATTGTTCATCTGGGTAAATTAAATTTTAGGTCCAAACTGAAAAGATGTTTGGTTCATTGGCTATTATAGATATTTAGGAATTTTATTTGCTGTAAGTTTTTCAAGCACATTGAAAAAATTCTTTCGGATTAATTTCTGATGATATCCTGTTGATATATAAAGTACACGTTTATAGATGAGGCTATAGCAGTCCAGACAGGTGAGTAAATTGGTTTTAGCTGCTATCACAAGTTTATTGTTACGCTTTACTTAGAGGTTATATCTTTATGTTTTATAGAATATTACTGGTTGCTATAAATTTGAAGAAATAGAGAGAAAAGGGGGTGGGGGTTGGGGAAAGACAAAATTAATTTGGATTTGTCAGGGGAATATCGAAAAAAAATATTGGAGATGTACTTACTTAAAATCTGCTGAAAAGTGTTTTCAAAAAGGTACAAGGTATGGTGGAGTAATTTATGTTTTTATAACCATAAAAGAGATTACTAAAGGGTAGTTTTGGCTGTTATCATATGATGTTATTTGTCTGTGTTGAAGGTGGAATGGGGACAGGGACCAACTACAGCATGCCTAGAACTCCTGAAGATTTCCTGAGCAACGTAGATGAAATGGACACACAAGAAGGAGGTATGTTTAGTACTATAAGGTTGGTTTTTAGAGATAATGTAAAGATGTCTGTGTATCTGTCTCTGTCACATCTAGATGAAATGGACACACAAGAAGGAGGTATCTTAAATTAGTATTAGGAGGTGAGTTTATCAGTAGAGATTACGTAATGACGTCTGTCTGTATATCTGTCTCTCTGTCCAAGTTTAACGCAATAACTTTTATCCTTATCCACCTGGAGACCAAATCTCTGGTTATGTAATTAGTAAAAAACCAGGTTATTCCGATCCTTTTAGCAAGAAATAATTTGAACAAATTATGAACAAAGTTTGAGATAATATTGCACTGAAGCTGAGTGATGCAGACAGTCAGATGGGATTGCATAGGTGAAGTGTGTGAAAGGTTGAATACTAATTTTTCCAACTAGCTTCTATTATTGGTAGAAAGTTTCTTGCATAAAAAGGCATTGGCTCACAGAGTCCTTTCTTTTGAAAGGAGTTTAAAAAAACATGGAATATCTGTTAATGACCTACCATTAGAAAGTTTCTTGCATAAAAAGGCATTGGCTCACAGAGTCCTTTCTTTTGAAAGGAGTTTAAAAAAACATGGAATATCTGTTAATGACCTACCAGTAAAACCCTGTAAAATAATATTGGTTTCCAACCTCAAAATTTAGATGTCATCAGGAATAAAAATAAACAATAAATACCTAGTGAATATCATTCAGTGTTTGGTAGTGGTAAGACAGCTGTAGATTCTTGTGGTAGGCATTAAAGGGAAATAACTTTTGTTACAGGACACAGACAAGGAGATTTCAATAACATGGACATTGGAGGTAACATTGGAGAAAGTGGCGAGCCAAGCAACATGGATAGTGAAGACTTGGTACCTAGTTTACAGGTAAGATAGCATAGATTCACTTTACAGATATTCCCTTTTATGTATAAATCCAGTTTGATGTGATGGCTTAGCATTGGTATCTACCTGTATGGATCTAGAAATTACATAAAAGACATTGATTTACATTGCAAAGATTGATATATATATACATTGAAATAGTTTAAAAGATAAGAGGGTACTTTGCAGTGAATTAAGACCAACATACTACAAACCATGAATTAATTAGAATAATGTTTTGCTGGAGGATAAATATTATGATCAAAATTTTTAGAGTTTTTAAAATTTTGTTGTGGTTTCTGTTCACAGGAAGAAATTAGTAATGAACTCTTAAATGATATGGAAAATGTGTTAAATTCGAACAAGCTTGAAGACAATCTACTGACCTGGTTGTGAAAAATAAAGAGGTCAACGTTCATTACATTGGAAACCATCACAGGGTCGGCAGGGGGGCGGAGCCATATCCTGCCAATCATTGTTGCAGGGGGTTGCATCACATTCTGTTGAATCATGACTGTAGGAGGTGGAGCCAAGCCCTGTCAGTCATGATTACAGTGGATCATGGAGCCTTCCTCTGCCTCTCTTCTTGTTTTTTATCACTATTCCATGTTGCCAGTTGAAATTATTTCTGGTGAGATTGTTCACTAGATGTCACTGATGGAATCATTGTTAACTAATGTTTTTCTTTTTTTTTTTTTTTTTCGATATGAATTATTTTTCCAATAGACTTTTTTTATAGAATATCAGGGAAAAATATGAAAACGATTTAAAAAAAAATATATTTTGTATTCAAGTGTATGATAGAGAATTTCGTTCGTGTATGATTGTACTATTGAACTATTGTTATTATCTACATATTGCTGGAGACCGGTAATGTGTGGTAGGGCGTCAAATATTTCACCAAGGTTTTGAAATCTTGTATTTTGCCACCCCTATTAAAGAAGACTTGTAACTAAAGCATGATATGTCAGTGTTATTTTCATATCATATGTGGTACTAGCGGTGCTCTGAAGTGCAGGTTATATTTGTTTCGTGTTTTAGAGATTTTTCGAGCATTTTGCTTGTGCATAACATGGCCAACCTTTTTGGGGATTAAGAGTTGATGCATATGATTGTATTAGTAATTCTGTGCAACAGCAGTGTCATCAAGGTTTGCATACAGATATTACATGGCTAAACTTTGGAAATATAAAGAAAGCTCGCTTCAAACATCACAGTTTTCCAATGGAGCATTGTTCGATAATTAAAAAAAACAAATATTAATCTTATGGAGTCATTCAATTAATATGTATTTCATTACTTGTTTAGAGATGAAACAACGGCACAACTAATGTAAACCATGACTAGCAGAAATGACATAAAAATACTTTTCTGCAATGTAATCTTGGTGACACTGTTGTTAACGTTCTGCAACAGTTGGTTTATTTTTTTTTACACCAAGAACTCCTGTTGCGTCAAAATTCTCATAATGCTATATAAACTGCTGATTTTAAACATATTTTTCACATCAGATAATACTGAATATGATTGATTGGATGCCTTGAAATATTTTACATTTGATACTAGTAATGAAATTGGGATATGCATTTCAGAACTTTTATGGACATTTTCAATTGTTGTATATCTTTTATTAAGAAGGAGTGTTATATTTCTTGTCCGTAAATACTTAGGTAGTTTGAAATTTGGGGCAGGCCCCCTCATGACAGAGGATAAACTTTAGAAAGAAAATTCTTTACTTCTTTTAAATACTGTGTTGCTATGTCTTGAGCATTTAATGTAATAAACAAGGAATATATCTAGAAAATATATTTTTTTTTCAATCTGGAAAAATATTTATCTACCCTAAAGAGCTATGCAGTCAGTGCTTTGATGTTTTGTGTTGACAGTCCTTCACATTCTGAGGGACAAAGAAGTTTCTTTTTCTATTGACCATTGGTCAGTTGCCAGTTACAACAGAGGTTTGTTTGTGGATTTATTTTTATACTGCTTCAGAAATAACTTCAGTTTTTAGCAGTATTGTCTGGTATGAATGTTGTCATCAAGTGTCCACTGATGGAACATTTTGACTTGATAGCAATGTCCTGCTTTTCACGTTTAATGTCCAAGATGTCCAGCTTTTTGTGTAAGATGTCTATGCAAAAATGTGTTGGTTATTTATTGGAAAAAATGGGGTTTTTGAGTTTTTTTTCTTTTTCTCTTTGTTAAATAATTGTTAATTTTTATATCCAAATTGCAATATTTGTATACAATAATAACAACAATAAAAAAAGAATTAGGATTAATGTTTGGGTATGTCAGTGTGTATATACATTACAGTACTCCTATGTAACCTGTTAGGGCACTTTACCTCTATAACCTTTTATCACTTATGTTGATGATGATGACGATTATGATGATGATGATAACAATTTTATTAATTATCTTGTAGAAATTTGAATTTTATCTTAATATTTTTGACAATAAGCATGATTGATATGTAGAGTTAGAATTTAACAGCAGATATATCACAGTTTTAAATATCTTTGAATATTAACCTAAAGTTTTATTGATTTCGGACAAAGTTTTATGTACTAACAAGTGTCCACTTAGTATTGAGGAAATATAGTCATTGTGTATAGTTCAAGTTATAGGGATTTGATTATATCATTTCCGTTTGGGGAAAAGGTCAGAAAAATATTTTTCTTTCAAAATTGAAAAACTAAAAAAAGTTCTATGTAACCTCTGAAGAGAAATATTGAAGTATTTACACTATTTGGTTCACCAATTCACTATTACTGGTTGTAGTATGTGTACAGTGTGCTAATTCTGCTTCTTAAAGTATTCTTCGTGAAATAGGAGTTCATTCTTAGTGGTCACAACATATTGGTTTGAAAATACAAAATAAGATGCAGTCTCTCCTTTTCCAAAGGTTGTTACAGGCAAGAACTGGTGTTATATTTTTCATATAAAGTTATTTTTGTTACACGTGAAGGAAAGACATACAATTTAAAAGAGAATCAAGATTGTCAACTTGGTTGTAGAGTTGTTGTGACCTCTTTGTATGTACATGACAAGCAAGGCCCATTTTGTGATAGGGTTCCAAGTTTCTCCCCTTCAGAGTGCTACCCATTTGCTGCAGTAGTGACAACTAAGTACGTGATTTCGTTGTTGTGATGGTATTGTATAAGTATAATATTTTGATACGCAGAGAGCACCTGCATAATAAGTTTGTTTCTGAATGCTTAAGGTACACACTACCATTTTAAATGCATTAAAAAAGTGCCATACCCTGTTATAGTAAAAACCAGAAGCAGCAATCCATTCAAGTTTCAGCCAAGTTAGATCAATACTTGACCAAGATTTGAAGAAATTTGGAAGCTTCTCCATGTTAAACCGTCCAACCAGACTGGGTATATCTAAATATACATTTTGTGTATTTCAAGCATTCAGAAGTAAATTTTATTCAGCATTTTTATATTTTTATCAATATTTTTTAAAAAACCATACCCACAAGGCTTGTCCACGGACAACTATTGTCGGTACCTTTTGAAAGTTAAATGCAAACTGTCTGCATTGACATTTCATTACAAGACGGGTTGAAATAATATCATACGTATTGTTTCATATCCAGTTGTATTACAATGATTCCAAAGTTCACGACTGTTGAAATGTTTTAAGAAGATTTTATTTTGGTACACAGGAGACTTTTGATACATGTGCTTTGGAAGTACATTTTTTATGAGAAAGGCAGACCTGGCCGTTACGTAAGAGAAGTATACATTCCAAATGTCCATGTTATTCTGATAAATCCTTCATCACAGTACAGATTCCCCAGGGTAAACACCTGGGAAATGTGATGCTGGAGAAAGCTATAAGTGAAAATAATAATGCATATGGTAGTTAACTAATTATAAAGTGCATTATGCCAACATGTTGAACATGTTCAGGCAGACTACCACAGACAGAAACAAGTCTGGAAAAAAAGGCTAAAACACATCCATGTTGATTTAACTAGTGTTTTTGACTGCCACGGGAATGAAGATAATTACATTTCGTTTATTAAGATCCTTTCATCATAAAAACTGGTTCTTTCCTTTACTTCACTGAACTGACTCCCCTGTAACTGGGGTCTACCTCTGAATTAAAGGATGTGAAAGGATGTCAACACTTCTAACCCTATCTGGATTCATATAATCCTGATATTTGTACAAAGTCAAATGTACATTAAGAATTATTGCCAAGAGGGAAATTTAATCCTGTCTTGGGGGTTGTAGGGGTTGATGAATATTTTTTGTTTCTTGTGATTATTAGAAAGGACAGTTCTTTTTCTGAATAGCAAAGTAACATTGAGAGATATTATGGATTTCTATTTTGAGCTGATGTCGTATTTCCCATTATGTTCTGTTACACGATTTAATTAAGTGCTATGATTTATGTAGGAGGCATTCATAGTTTGAATGTGTTTGTGCATAAAAGGTTGAAGAAAATCAAAAGTTTGAAAACTCTTTTAATTGCTATATCCTCAACAAGATGGTAATAACATCAATTATGTTTCATAAGGAATTACCGTTAAGTTGGTGCTAATCGCAAGGTTTTGATGTTAATGATGTGTTTTCATACCGGTCAGGGCACACCACAGGTGTTTAACCTGGCCATTCAAACAGACCTTTATGCACAACCTTATTCTGTAGAGCACCTAGTAGTCATTTTAACCCCATGCATATTTTTGTCAAATATTTTTGACCCCCTGTTGGATCCCGCCCTGCCCCCTTTTCATTTCTCATTTGTACTCCTCTATCCTCATGTAGTATCCCATCCCGATGGTTACCGTCCTCGATATTGACATCAAATGGAGGCAAAGAAATTGTAGGAAACTAAGGGAGATCACTCTTAGTGCATGTCAGCTGGGCTGGCAAAACTTGCTGGAAAATTGATTCAAACCCAATGAATTTTATAATGTAATGTTATACAAAATGTTGGTTGGACAGTTGATCCTACTCTAATACACACTGTCAACAATACAGCTGTCACAAGCATATATACATTCCAAAATTTTGTATTTCTTAGCAGGATTTCTTCTTGTTGCCTCTGTAATTAATTGATCTAGTGTAAATAGGTTCAAATTATTTCACTTTATTTTCCTACAATTTTTCGTTTGCATTTCAACTCCATTTGAAATCACCTCATCCCATATAGTACGACTTTATGATATTTTCTCCCCATAGTCATTTTTTATCAGTTTTTTTGCCCATCAGTGAAAATGACATTTAAATACATATATAAATATTATAAAGATTATATATCTTTTGTCTATAAAACCATTGACTTTTCTATAGAGGTCAATATTAAAACTCTGTTAGCACTGAAATGTAAATACGATCTCAACCAAGTTTCACCGTCATAGATTTTACATTATATTCAGTGGTGAGACATTTGTTCATTATATTTGTATCCCAGTTATGGGTAAAAAAAGAAAACTAAAGAGAAAAAAATGTAAATAAAAATAAGTAAAAAGAACATATTTTGTTTGTTGTGATTGATGAATTTTTATACGCCCGTCGAAAGACGGACGTATTATGGTATGGCACTGTCCGTCCGGCGACCGTCGTAAACTTTTATTTGTCCGGAGATCTCCTACATTTTTCAGCCGATCTTTATGAAACTTGGTAGGCTTAATCACCATATGATGTGTTTTCCTGAACGGGGTTTTGATTAGACGATTTGAACAACAAGAGTTATGACCCTTTGTTTATTTCACTATAGAAATCTTGTCCAGAGATCTCCTCCAACATTTTTCAGTCGATCTTTATGAAACTTGGTAGACTTATTCACCATGATATGAAATTGTGTTTTCCTGAATGGGGTTTTGATTAGACGATTTGAATGAGTTATGCCCCTTCGCTGTTTTGGATATTCACGGGCGTATTTTGTTCCGCTTTGTGGTACTCTTGTTGTGTCCTTGTAATCCAGTCAGTCATCTAACCTGACCACAATTTTGGAAAAAAAGCATTTTTTACGATTTCGGTCATTTATCTGACATTGACAGCCAGGTCTTGTTTCTAAAATGGCGATTATATAAAACCGCAATGGACAAGACAGTTTGGTGCTCCTTTCAGAAAAATGTCTTTATCAGATACTTTGTGGTATGGGTTCCTCAAGGGAAGCGCACCCTAGTCAAATACGTGCCTACAAATGAGGCATTGGCACTTTTGTTGTGGACCTCGAAACGCTTACTTCAGTACCAAAAGAGTCCAGTGATAATGACAAAAGCGGTCACTATCATTGATCCAAACAGAGAAACGTTTTTCATAAAAGCTCCTCCTCGATAACCAGTAATTTGGACAGAGAAAAAATTAACGAAAAGATGACAGCACATCAAAGTATCATAAAAACGGAATATCTTTAAGTGAAATTTAAGACCTTTTCAAGGTTTTTGTGGCCTGTTTTAAGAAGTTCTTCCGATACAAATTCAACCTCGTATGAAAACAAAAACAAGTCGGCCATCAGGGGGACTCAGTTCTCATAGCTCTCTTACAATCAAACACACAGAATTCACTAAAAAGCAAAGTGAAATATACCCACCGGGTATTAATTGTACATCACGGTAAAATCATTCATTTCATTACTGATAGTGCATATTTTATACATTTCCAGTTCTTTGTTTCGGGAAACCTCTCTCAAACTTAGCACTGATAACGTCACGCGATAGTTTTAACAAGAGGCCCAGAGTGCCTGTATCGCTAACCTGAATCTTTATGACCAACAGTACTATATCTGTGCATATGTTCAACAGTAGATGCTTAAAGCAATATGACAAATTACTCCATATGGGTTATGTCCCTTAGTAGTCAGCCCCCTCATCTATGCAAAGTTGAATTGAGTCTTTCTTGTGATGTTTCCAGTTAGATGTAATTGATATCTTTCTTTTAAGTCAAGGAAAGAAGATGGTCAAACAATATAGCAGAAAAAATCCTAGTTATAGCTGGACGGATGACCCAGTACAGCAGAACCTTACTTGCCCTTTAGATCATTGTTTACAAACACGGATACAACATATTTGAGACTTGCACAAGTCAACAATATATAGCAACAATTAAATATGAAGGCAGGGAAAATTAAGGTACATGTAATTATAAACCATAATCTTAACTCAAAAACAATAATAAAACGTTTCATGCATATCATTAGTGATGTCACCATGGTCAGTTAAGCCCCGGTTACTGGAGATATACTGTTAACAGTTTACTGTAGGCCTATAAACACTGCATAGCAAATGGGATCAACTTAGAATTTCTTATTTATTTATGCTATAATAATGAAGAATCTTAAATAAAAATGAAGTTCTTGCAATTCTCTTCCAGATCATGTTTTCTGTATTTTAATGCTGTGAATAGAACATAAGTAATTGGCTAACATGTAGTTTTCACGTTACTTAGCTCAAGCCTCTCAGACCTCCAGGGGGCTTGGCCTAATCTATTTTTGGGACAGTGTGACATCACTGTGAAAGGTCTTTATAATTTATCCCAAATTATGCCAAAAAATTCCCAGTCAAATGTATTCCTTTAACAAGTAATTGGAAGGTTCTACATATTTGTATATAAGCCTTTGTGAAACCTTTACTGGCCAAATATGATAGCCTTGGGTCAATCAGAAGTTGTTAATGATTTAACCAAATTTAACCCCAGTGATCTTAAATATTTTTATGGGTCAAGCTATTTTTTCACACAATATGTGGGCACTATAAAGGAAACCTTTTGGCCAAATATTTTGACCTAAGACCTTTTGGTTATGCAGAAGTTGTTCAAAGGTTTAATGCATTAGACCGTTTTGACCTTGAATATGGGTCAAGGTCATTTATTTTCTCAAATATTATCGGGCATCAATGAGAACCTAATTTGGCATAATATCACTATCCTAGATATTTGGTTAGTCAGAAAAAGTCATTTAAGGGTTTTAACACAGTTGACATCTGTGACCTTGAATATAGGTGTAGGTGATTTCTTTTTGCAAACTTTCTTGGGCTTGATAAAAGGAACATACTGGCCAAATATAATGATTCTAGGCTTTTCAGTACTTTAGATGAAGTCGTTTAAAGGTTTAAACACATTTGACCCCTGTGACCTTATAAGATTGGTCAAGGTCATTTCCTCAAGCAAAAATTGTAGGACACTATTAGAGGAACATAGTAGCCCAATATAATAATTCTAAGCCTTCCGGTATTTGGGGAGAAGTCGTTTAAATGTTTAACACATTTGACCTCTGTGACCTTGAATATGAGTCAATGTCATTTCTTTTTGCAAAAATTGTTGGGCTTCATCAAGGGAACTTCCGGCCAAATATAATGATTCTAAGCTTTCAAGTATTTTGGAAGAAGTCGATTAAAGGTTTTACCATATTTGACCTCTGTGACCTGGAATATCGGACAAGGTCATTTCTATTCGCAAACTTTGTTGGGTTTTATCAAAGGAACCTTCCGGCCAAATATAACAACTCTACGCCATTCGTTATTTCAGAAGTTGTTTAAAGGTTTTAACACATTTGACCTCTGTCACCTTGAATATGGGTCAAGGTCATTTCGTTTTAAAATATTTGTTGGGCTTCATCAAAGGAACCTTCCAGCCAAATATGACAACTCTATGCCTTTCGTTATTTCAGAAGAAGTTTTCAAAGGTTTTAAATTATTTGACCTCTGTGACCTTGAGTATGGGTCAAGGTGATTTCTTTTTACAAACTTTGTTGGGATTCATTAAAGGAACGTTCCAGCTATATATAATGATTATAGGTTTTCCGGTATTTTGGAAGAAGTCGTTTAAAGGTTTTAACTCATTTGACCTGTGACCTTGAAATTGGGTCAAGGTCATTTCTTTTTATAAACTTTGTTGGGCTTCATCAAAGGAACCTTTCAGCCAAATATGATAACTCTATGCCTTTCGGTATTTCAGTAGAAGTTGTTTAAATGAAAAGTTGACGGACGCAGGACCAACGGACGACGGACGCCGCGCTATGACATAAGCTCACTTGGTCCTTTGATATCACTGCGTCAATTCAGAATTACAAAATAAGAAACATTAATAGCAAACCGTTTCAAGATGGAAGTCATTTTGTTAACATGCGACGTTGTTTTGTACAGATGCGTTATGATATGTGACGGATAAGATTGACATACCCAGACTGTTGATCAACAGATCAGGATTTCCAATGTATAATTATCGATTAGCCTCTTTATATGCATAGTTCAGCGTTAACCAACTGTCATTGTTCATAATGCGATACTTTTGACATATAAATGCAATAATAAACAGAATAGCTCTTTTTCTGGAAACGGAAATCTGGGTGTAGACATTAACGTAATGATATCTAGACATGAGCACAATTTCATTAAATCTTGCAATAGATATTTAGATTACAATAAGTCTATTTTGTTTTCTAGTTCGGAGATCAATGTAACTTTCCTGCATGTATTAAATTATAAGCGTAGATTCATGCACTCTTTGCCAAATGCTGTCAATATAATTGGTTTTGGATGAGGGCTTGAATGATGTTGTAATAACTTGTGCCCAATCCTGTTGCTAATGATTCTTGCAATGAACTATGTTTGAACCGAAAAAAAAAAGTTTTTTTTCCTTTTAACAAAATTCGTATCATGACACAGGTGAACATTTTCATTTATTGAAAATAACACACATGATAAATACTATTTATTGACAACAACAAAGCATTTTAGTTATCTTTTTGTTTTATTCATTTACTGTCATAACGGTGATGTCGAGGCTGCAACATGTCTATTATTTTGGCAGCTCTGATCTTCCGGCTGGCTTTGTTACTACACAGTGTTACACCCATGCAACCTGATCTGTCATTTTGTAGTTGGTCGTTACGTTCCAGATCTGCCAATCCTCCTTCAGTCAATATCATCACACACAAGACGATGGGTATTATTGCAGCAATCACTTCATATTGTCTGAAATTATATAAACGGAAATATCAACTGCAGCATATGCCTTTGTATTGGTTGTGAATTACGTCTTCGCTTAAGTGGGTCATTTCAATAGGTGTGTGCAGGTTGTTCACCAACTGACGGACATTAGTATAGTGCTATCACATGGAAATATCATATTCTGTACATAGTAACATGGCACCCCAAACCTCTTACGATTTGAGGTCTGTTAATACCACACTTCGGTGACGTATACATTTGCAATTTTGGCCGAGTTCACGATTCCTACAGTGATGAAAAGTGATTAAACAAGATGTATCGACTTAATGAAAAGCTAATACCTGATATGTAAATATGCGCTTTCATGTAACGGCTTTATTCTTAATAATGAACTAAATAACTTTAAGCTATATTGATGACGTCTTGTCTTTAAATAACAAGAAACTTGTTGACTATATCCATCGTATATAACCGTTATGATTGGAAATCACACACTTGATAGATTCTTCTACATCAATTGCTTATCTCGATCTTTCCCTACAACGAAACTAACATAGACAGCAATCCACCAAGCTGTATG